CGTAGGTAAAGTTAGCCGCCACAAACACCTGAGTAATTACAGCATCGTTATTCCAATTGCGGAAGAGTACAATAGTACCAAACAGTATTACCGAAAAAGCAATGTGTACTATGGTACGGGTACGTTTTAATTGTGCCTGGTCTTTGTCTTTCGCGGCATGGTCATCCATACCTAAAAAGTCTATACAAAAGGCTGTGGTAAGGGTGGTAAGTACAGAGTCGGCACTGGAGAAGGTAGCCGCTGCAATACCCAGTATAAATGCTACCGAAGCTGCTACACCTAAATATTTAATGGCTATCAACGGGAACAATTCATCCGTCGATTTTGGAATTGCAATCCCCTTTTGTGTGGCGTACATAAACAGCAATGCCCCTAACGATACAAATACCAGGTTAACCAGCACCACCACAATACTAAACACACGTATGTTTTTCTTAGCCTCACCAAGCGTGCGTGCACTCAGGTTTTTCTGCATCATATTCTGGTCAAGGCCAGTCATGGCAATGGCAATAAATGCCCCACCCAAAAACTGTTTTACAAAATGGTTCTTGGCGTTCCAATCATCAAAAAAGAAGATTTTAGAATAGTCGCTATTAGCTACCGCTGAACCTATATTGCCTACTGCACTAAATATGCCGCGGGTGCTTACAATATCTAATTCCCTTGCAATATAAAACACGGAGAATATCAGCCCAAGCAATAAGAATCCAGACTGTAACATATCTGTCCACACCAGGGTTTTAATGCCGCCCTTAACGGTGTACACCAGTATCAGGATAATGATAATGGCAGCAGCCATTTCAAAGCTTACACCAAAGGGTTCAAACAAAAATTTGTTGAGTACAATAAGTGTAATGTATAACCTAAATGCCGCGCCAATGGTACGCGACAGAAGAAAGAAAAACGATCCTGTTTTCTGCGAGTTCTTACCCAAACGCTGCGCCAGGTAGCTATAAATTGACGTAAGGTTATACTTGTAATAAATGGGCAACAACAATTCTGAAATAACCAGATACCCAAACACGTAGCCAAACACAATTTGCATATAACTAAACTGTGCACCGCCAACCTGCCCCGGAACCGATACAAAGGTTACACCCGACAGCGAATCGCCGATTAGGCCAAATGCCAGCACCCACCAAGGCGTTTGTTTGTTGCCTAAAAAGTATCCGCTGTTACTTGCCTTACGGCCTGTAAAGTAGGATATAAGCAGCAGCAGGGCAAAATAGCTGCATATAATTACCAGTACTAATGTCGCGCTCATTAATGCTAAAGTAGTGGATAGTAATTAGTGAATAGTGAGTGGTTAAGTTAAGTTGTAACAAGGGGTAAGTTGAAAACGATAATCAATCACTAAAAATTAACCGTTGCTTAATCAATACATACCCCATAAAAACTATATTTGCTACCCTCCTATCCAATCGTACCAAGATGAAAAATATTATTGTTGCCCTGTTACTTATTACCTCAGCTATAAAAGCCCAGACCATTGTAGGCCCTTACCTGCAAAGTCCCACATCAACCGGTATAAAAATACTATGGCGCACGGCTGCAGGTACTGATAGTAAAGTAAGCTACGGTACCGATGCTAATAACCTTGCATCATCTGTTACGGATAACGCAAGTACTAACAGGCATATGGTTCAGCTTATCAACCTGCAACCGAATACAACGTACTACTATGCGGTAGGAAGTTCAACTGCTTTGCAAAGCGGCCCAAGCCCTTTACATAAATTTAAAACCCCTCCGGTTATTGGCACTACACAACCGATAAACGTTTGGGCTATTGGCGATTTTGGTAAAGGCAACTCTAACCAAACCATGGTGCGCGAATCGTTTGTAGATTATAACGCAACCAAGAACTGCGATTTCTGGATTTGGCTGGGCGATAACGCGTACGACGAAGGAACGGAAGACCAGTACACAACACAGGTGTTTGATAGTATTTGGGGCTATAAGGATATTATGAAATACCTGCCCTTTATGCCGGCACCGGGTAACCACGATTATGGAGTTATTTCTAATCCTGTTATCTCTACCGATCCTGTTACACAAACAGGCCCTTACTTCGATTTTATTGATGTGTTTAAAAACGGCGAAAGCGGTGGTGTTCCATCTAACACAGAACTATTCTATAGCTACGATTATGGCAATACACACTTCTTATCGCTTAACTCAGAACTGGCTTCGGTGTTTAACGAATCGCACGACTGGATTGGAGCAAGCCCGTTCTATAGCTTTGACGGCTCGCCATTTACCCAATGGCTGCAAGCCGATTTAGCTGCCAATACACAACCCTGGGTGGTAGCGTATTTTCACCAGCCACCGCATACCGATGGATCGCACGATTCTGATCAGTTTTGGGAGGTGAACATGAAAGCCATGCGCGAAAACATTGCACCTATGTTGGAAGATGCCGGTGTTGACCTGGTAATTTGTGGCCATAGCCACGTGTATGAACGCTCGTACCTTATCAATGGATTCTACGGGGCTATGGGCGATTTTAACGCATCAACCCATATAGTAAACGGTACCAGTGGCAACGACCTTGATGGACAAGCCTACGTAAAATATACTACCGGCCCTAACGCAAATAAAGGCACTGTATATATGGTAGTGGGTAACTCGGGCAGTAAAGATGACGATGCGCCACTTGGCCACCCTGCAATGTATTATGCCGAAGGTTGCGATACCTGCCTGGGCTCTGCTATTTTAACAATACACGGCGATACCTTGCGCGGACAGTACCTATCGGCACACGGGCAAATAAAAGACCGCTTTGCTATTATCAAATCAACGCAAACAGGTCTGCCAATGTTGCCATCATCATTGATAACGTTTAACCTTTTCCCCAACCCTGTGCATAAGGAGTTTGGTATAGAAATAGAACTATCAAAAGAAAGCACCTGCACGCTTGAGTTGTATGATATGCAAGGCAAGTTTATTAAGAGCTTATGTGATTCTTATATGCTAAGTAAAGGCCTTCACTCCTACCGTTTCGATGCGCAAACACTTGGGCTTAAACAAGGTGTATACCTGATTAAATTTACTGATGCCGGCAAGGTCTATACTAAGCGATTGGTTGTAAGTGATTAGTTATCGATTTACCAGCACCTAGCCCCTGGAACCTAGTCCCTATTATTTTGGCACGCCTTTAGCATATCCCATTGTAACAAGTTACCATTTGGTGACGTACATAAATAAAAAACCACTATGAGGGCATTATACGCTATTGTGTAATCTATGATTCCAACTCTACCAAATTTTAACATTTGGTGTTATGCGTATAAAAATTGCATTGGCAGTTATGCTAATACTCAGCATGACTTGCAGTATCCAAGCCCAGGGCGTATTAGATGCCCCCTGCCCTAAAACCGGCAACATGAATAATGATGTGACCATAAAGGCACACATTAAACGCCGCACGCCTACTCCGTATCCACAGGTTCGCGAGGCCGATATTATGTGGGAGAAATGGGTATGGCGTACCATTGATATGCGCGAGAAAATGAACCTTGGTTTCTACTATCCATTTGAGCCCAGCAACAACCGCGCTAATCTGCTTACCGTTATAAAATGCGGTATTGCCAATGATTTGGTTACTCCCTACAGTTCTATGGACGACGAGTTTTTAGTACCTATGACTAAGGAAGATGCCCTTACTATCGGATCGCGTACCGACACCATTCAGATACCTGATTTGTACGACCCCGATGTAATGCACGATACCGTTATCAGCTCAACACTCAATCCAAAAGATGTGCTGGAATACCGCCTGAAAGAGATATGGTTTTTCGATAGGCAACGCTCTGTTATGGAAGTACGGATAATAGGAATTTGCCCCGTACGCACTGTAATAGACCCTGTTACCGGGGATGTAAAAGGCAAGCAGGAAATGTTCTGGATATACTTCCCTCAGCTGCGCGATGTATTAGTAAACTACAAGGCATTTAACCGCTTTAATAATACCGATATACTTAGCTATGATGATGTGTTTATGAAGCGCATGTTTGGCAGCTATGTGTATAAAGAAAACAACTCGTACGACCGTAAAATTACCGACTACAAAACCGGTATGGATGCCATGATAGAATCGCAGCGCGTTAAAACCGATATTATGGACTTTGAGCACGATTTATGGGATTGGTAATATAAGCGGCAAGGGGTTAGAGATGAGGGGCGAGTTTTGCTTGTCAAACAACACATCCCTGGCCCCACGCCCCTAGTCCCTAATTTGAGTATCTTTGCATAATGCAGGCCGTTCTATCGCTCTGGCAACAGGGAGGAAAGTCCGGACAACACAGGGTACCGTACCACCTAACGGGTGGGGGCGCAGGCGGCAACAATTGCGCTACAGATAGTGCCGCAGAGAACTATACCGCCCCGTAACACGTGTGTTACAGGGTAAGGGTGAAAACGCGGGGTAAGAGCCCACGGGCGTAACAGTGATGTTGCGTTGGGTAAACCTTACGGGTTGAAAAGCCAAATAGGTTGCAATTGGCTACGTGTAGCCAGGGGGGCGGCCCGCTCCTCATTTGCAATGGGTAGGCAGATACAGGTTACAGGCGACTGTAATCGCAGATAAATGATAGAATCCGCGCTTGCGTGGAACAGAACCCGGCTTACAGGCCTGCATTTTTTTATCTTTAAGCAATGGGTAATACAATTTTTGAAACAGAACGCCTTTTATTCAGAGAATTAGTAGTGGCTGATGCTGCCAATGTTTTTGCATTGAATAGCGACCCTTTAGTAATGCGCTATACCGGTAGCTACCCTATGGGTAGTATTGATGAGGCTGTGGCTTTTCTTACTAATTATACAGACTACGAAAACTTTGGGTACGGCCGTTGGGCCTGTCTTTTAAAAGACACCAACACCTTTATTGGCGTGTTTGGATTACGTTATTTTAAAGAAGATAACGAAGTAGATATTGGCGGATTATTTTTACCAGCATACTGGAATAAAGGCTATGCCAAAGAGGCAACTAAAGGTTGTTTTGATTATGGTTTTAATGTACTAAAGGTTGATGAAATTTCAGCTAAATGTTCAGCAGAAAATATAGCTTCGCAAAAAATTATGGAAAGCCTGGGAATGGCTTTTACAAAAGAATATTTTAGCGGCACAACAAAAGTGCTGTACTATAAAATTAAAAGAAATGAATAACGCTATACTTGAAACAGAGCGCCTTTGGATGCGCAAGTTTATGGTTGAAGATGCAGAGGATATGTACCTGCTTAATGCCGACCCTGATGTACTACGCTATACAGGCGACAAGGCTTTTGCATCGGTAGAAGAATCGTATAAGTTTATAGAGAATTACAACCCATACGATACCGAAGGCTTTGGCCGTTGGGTTTGTGTGCTTAAGGATACCAACGAGATTATCGGCTGGAGCGGTTTACGCATGCAGCACGATATAGGGTTGGTTGATTTAGGCTACCGTTTTCACAAACGTTTTTGGGGCAAGGGCTACGGTACCGAGGCAGGTTTGGTTAGTGTTGAACATGGCTTTAAAAACCATAACCTTGATGTTATTATTGGGCGTGTAGACAAGAATAATATTGGTTCTATCCGCATACTGGAAAAATGCGGAATGGTTTATTGGAAAGAAACGCTTTGTGGCACAGAGCCGGGTATGTATTACAGGGTGTATAACCCGTATAAAGGCAAATAAAAAAAGCCTCGCTTGTAGCGGGGCTTTTCAGTAAATATCAATTACGCTAAATGCTTAGCGTTGTTCCTTAATTACAGGAGTTAGCATATCAACTTGTTTGCCGTACAATTGAGGCTGCATGTAAGTGCCTTTTTGGCCGTCACGCTTTTCAACCTCAGTATCGCGTTTCTCAGGGTGTTGCTGCATGTAAAGGTCGTTACGCTCGGCATATACTACCCAGCTGATTTTTTGGCCTGCATTACCACCCGAAATTTTGAAGGTGTTGCCTGTACCAATTTCTTCTTTAACAAATAAACCCGGAGCTGAAGCACCTACCGGAGTAAGCTGGTAGCTAAAGTTGATGTTGATAGACTGGAAGTAATGAGGAAGTGTAACAGTAGCATTACCATTAGCATCAAGGTTAACATTACCGCGGTATACGTTTAATACCTGATCTGACTCCATAGAGAAGTGCTTTAACACTTTATTTTGAGGGTCTAGCGGATGGTCAATAACAAAGGTTTTAGTACCTGTAGCACCTAAATCGCCTAGCGATAAAACACCGAAGTAAGAAAGGTCTACCGAAGAACCAATAACACCTGCACCATGCGCTGACTGACCTAAAACAGCAGCGTTATCATCAGCAGGAGAAACAGTAAAGTTTTGGCCTAATACACCCGCAAGGTTGCCATACGTAGTTTGGCCGTTAACACCAATACCACCTAAACCTGCAACAGCAATAGAGTTCATGTTAGTACCTGCAGGAGTTGCTGTGTTATTTGCAAATACAGCGTAGCCCTGGTTAAATGCGCTCTTACCCGATACACCATTAAAGCCAACACCTTCAGTACCTATACCACCGGTAGTACGTAAGTTGTTACCGCGTACAGCCACATCAGATGTAGAAGTAGAAGTAGCCTCCCCTGCAACCGCGCGTGAAGCCCCTGTTGCCTGTCCGAAGATGGCTGAGTTATTTTGAGTAGAGCTATTGGTAATACCTTGTATAGTAGAGAATGTATTAGTAGCATTAGCGCTGTTAGCGGTAATTGCATTACCGGTACCGTTAAGGTTAGCACCAATACCAGCAGTTAGAGAACCGTTTTGAGTAACTAAAAGAGCAATACCGTTAAGGCCTGTAACGCCTGTTGGTCCTGTAATAGATACAGAGCCTGCATCGGCAGTAATGCTACGGCCTGCGCCAGAGCCACCAAAATCGTAAGCAGCATCAAGTGTTCCACCACCAGAACCGCTACCTGTTGGGCCGGCAGGACCGGTTGGACCTTGAGCACCTGTTGTACCAACACCTGTTGGACCGGCAGGACCCGTTACACCCACACCTGTTGGACCGGCAGGGCCTGTTGGGCCTTGGGCACCAGTAGAGCCATTAGCGCCTGTTGTACCCGCACCTGTTGGGCCTGCAGGGCCTGTTGGACCTTGAGCACCAGTTGTTCCGGCACCAGTTGGGCCGGTAGGGCCTGTAGCACCTACACCCGGACCAGTTGGACCTTGTGGGCCTGTTGGGCCTTGTACACCTGCACCTGTTGCACCGGCAGGACCTGTAGGTCCTTGAGAGCCTGTTGCACCCGGAGCACCAGTTGGGCCTTGCGAGCCACCACCATTAGCTGCATAAAGAGCATACGGTACGCTTATAAGTTGAGATGTACCTGCAACACTATAGGTAGTGCCACCGGCAGGGTCAATTTCTGTTTTTACATACTTGCTGCCACCACCCCATGCAATGTTTGCAAAGGTTCCGCTAACAACAGTACCGGTACCAACCTCAAGGTTGAATAAACCAAACTGGTTAGTGGTTTTAGTGTGAGTCTCTTGATAAACAACAGTACCTGAAGGGCTTCCGTCTAAAATAGTAATGCGGATACCTACCGGTTGGCTTACAAGTTCTGTACCGGCATTATTGCGGGCAATAGCCTGGTAATTGAATTTTTGCGGGGCCTGTGCATTCGTTCCCGTGCACACGGCTAATGCCAAAGCTAATATGGCTACCGACTTAGTGAAAAGCTTATTCATAGTATAACTTTAATTTTTTTGAGCCCCGAAAATACTGATTTTACTCATAAGTTGGTGGCCGATAGTTCTTGGTTGTTAGTAAATACTAATGTTACAGCAGGTTCTCTTTATAATTCAACCTAAGCTTTGTTAACCAATGGTTTCACTTTAGTACCGATTAACTCAATGGCTTTCATCAGCTTTTCATGCCCCAACGATGCCGTATCCATTTGGAATGTAAGCCTTGATATACCGCCCAATGCGTTACTATGGCGGATGATTTTCTCAGCCACCTCTTCGGGCCCGCCAACAAGTAATGCACCTAAATAACCGGCTTGTGCATCAAATCGGCTACGTGTCATAGGAGGCCAACCGCGCTCTTTACCAATATTGCTCATGCTCTCGGCATAGCCGGGATAGAACTCATCAATAGCCTGCTCAGTCGTGTCGGCAACATAACCTAATGAGTGCAAGCCTACTTTTAGTTGTTCAGGTTTGAAGCCTGCTACCTCACCTGCTTTGCGGTATAAATCGACTAGCGGACGGAAACGGTGTGTCTCCCCACCTATCACAGCAACCATCAATGGTAAGCCTAAAGTACCCGCACGTATAAACGATTCGGGCGTACCACCAACACCTAACCACACAGGAAAAGGATCTTGCAAGGGGCGTGGGTATATAGGCTGGTTATTAAGCGCAGGGCGGAATTGTCCCGACCATGTTACATACTCGTTTTTGCGGATGTTTAGCAGCAAATCCAGTTTCTCCGAAAACAGCTCATCATAATCATGAAGGTTCAATCCAAACAGCGGAAAAGCCTCAGTAAACGAACCTCTGCCAACAACCATCTCCGCACGGCCTTGCGATATCAAATCAAGCGTAGCAAAGTTCTGAAACACCCTAACAGGATCGGCAGCAGAAAGCACAGTAACCGCGCTTGTCAGACGTATTTTCTCCGTACGGGCAGCAGCGGCAGCCAATATCAATGTAGGCGCCGAATCTAAAAACTCCTTGCGGTGATGCTCACCAATTCCAAATATATCATGGCCTGTTTTATCGGCATATTCTATACGCTCCAGTAGTTGGGCCAAGGCAAACTTATTGTTCTCGGGCGTGCCCGTATTATCATCGCCAAAGCGGGCGGCAAAACTATCAATTCCAATTTCAATCATGCTGAGATAACAGAGGTGTCTCTTTTAGGTTTAGTTTATAGTTGGTTACATAGAGTATACCGCCTACTTCTTATATTTATCGCGGAGATAGGCTATATACTTAACCAAATCACCACCGGCTATTTTATTCATTTCATCGGCAAAATCGTTCATCTTGCTGTTGTACTGGCGCTTCACAATAAAGTAGGCATTGTTAGGCAGCGGGCGGTTATCAAACACATGGTGATAATACGGCTTATCAATAAAGTTAACCGTATCAAGGTTAGCCACAATCTTACCAATATACGCCTGCTTCAGCTTACGTTGCGCGGCAGGGTTATTAAGCCCTTTCATGGCAGCATACAGGCTATCCAGCTTGATGGCCCCATTCAGCATATACTGCTCAAAGCGGTCAATGTCGGCTATATCATTAACGTAGCGGGTAGATTCTTTAGAACCCTTACCGTACTTATCCTCCATATACATAATAGCCCCGCGCATACCTATGAAGTTGGCAAGGCTCTCGCTAAAATCAACATTGCCCTTTATATAGATGGTAGAGTGGCTCAGCTCATGAAAGAGCAGTTCTGCAAGGTCCGCTTCGGGATATTCCAGCATGGTACTCATTACAGGGTCAGAAAACCAGCCTAAGGTGCTCCATGCGTTCACTTCGCGGATGCGGGTATCGTAGCCATCGGCTTGCAGGTCGGCCGCTTGGTCTTGCGCCCCTTCCAGGCTAAAAAAGCCCTTGTACGACACATTACCCACTATAGGAAACCACCACATCTTCGGCTCCAGGCTAAACTCCTTACTGGCCGATACTACCCAAAGCAAAGGCTTGCCCTGCTGGTCATACAACTTGGTGTAGTTGTTGGTGGGGAGTAAGCCCAATTTACCAAAGGCATAGGCCCGTATTTCCTTTACCAGCTGCAGCTTTTTGCGGACGCTATCTGGCACCGCGGTGTCTTTCAGGTAATCGTCAATAGGCTCGCTTTTGGCTAGTATGCGCATTTGCCCTACCGCTGCTTGCGACAGGTACGATGTGTACTTGGCACAGCACAGGCACGATACTATAAGCAGCATCAGCGCCAGTTCTAAAGTAAGTTTAAACGCGCGGTATAGCATGGTTTAAATAGCTACAGCCGCCTTAATATGCGGGTGCGGATCGTAATTCTCCAGCGTAAAATCTTCGTAGGTAAAGCCGAATATATCCTTCACCTCCGGGTTTATTTTCATGGTAGGCAACGGGCGTATATCGCGGCTAAGCTGAAGCTTGGTTTGCTCTATATGGTTGCTATACAGGTGGGCATCGCCAAAGGTGTGGACAAACTCACCGGCCTCTAATCCGCATACCTGCGCCACCATCATGGTAAGCAGGGCGTACGAGGCAATATTAAACGGAACCCCTAGAAACACATCGGCGCTGCGTTGGTACAGCTGGCACGACAGTTTACCATCGGCCACGTAGAACTGGAACAGGCAGTGGCACGGCGGCAAGGCCATCTTATCCACATCAGCCACGTTCCATGCACTTACTATAAGGCGGCGGCTATCGGGGTTCTTTTTTATCTGGTTGATAAGGTTAGTTATCTGGTCTATACTACCACCATCGGGGGTAGGCCAGCTACGCCATTGGTGACCATACACAGGGCCAAGGTTGCCATTTTCATCGGCCCACTCATCCCAAATAGAAACCCCATTATCTTTCAAATACTGGATATTGCTATCGCCACGAAGGAACCACAGCAGCTCAATAATAATAGAACGCAGGTGCAGCTTTTTGGTAGTAATTACCGGGAAGCCTTTGCTAAGGTCAAAGCGCATTTGGTAGCCAAAAACACTGTAAGTGCCCGTGCCGGTACGGTCGCTTTTGTGGGCGCCCGTGTCCAGTATATGTTGTAAAAGTTGGTGGTACTGTTCCATGTTACAAAGATACGGCTAAAAGGCCTGTTTTGCCTACCGACTTTTCAACTACAACACCGTTAATAACAGGGTTAATGCTTGCCAATACCCGGGCAATCGCAGCCGCCGCCCTTACGCCCACCGCCACCGCGGCGACCGTATACATTGCTCTTACAGCTATCTGCAAAAGCAAGCACCGTAATGCTTAAAAGGAATATGACTATAGACCTGCGATACTTCATAATAGTAATACGATAATACAAAGGTAATGGTTTCTTTTTAGCTTACAGCTTGTAGCTGGTAGCTTTTAGTATTCTTAGTTCTGGCATTTTTCCTATCAGCTATAAGCTACAAGCTAACCCCTAGTGTAAAGTATGTGGTCAATCCTCGGTGGCTGAACTCCCAACTCTTTTAGCCTGCTGTTAATTTGCCCGCGGTGGTAAGTACCATGGTTAGCCAGGTGGGTAAGTATCTCCTCGTAGGTACTTTGCCAGGGGTTGCCTTGCGAATCTTTATAAGGTACTATAGTGCCCCAATCGCTTACTGTTGTAATAAAATTTACAAAGTCCGAGTGGTTTTTCTCGCCCTGCGATTTCAACTCCTGCATGGGGATAATATCAAACGCCGTATAGCCTGTTGGGGCAATTAGCCTGATGCGTTCCATCCACAGCCCTTTGGCCCATATAATATGGCTCATAAGGCTCCATACACGGTCGTCAATCATATCGTGGGTAACCATAACATCAATAACCTGGTTATTGGCCCAGTTATCGTATTCAAACATTATGCGGTGGTGCTCATTCATAGTGCTTCGTCTTCTAAGTGTTTAATAAGGCCCATAAAACCCTCGTGGGTAACGCCCATAAAGGTGGCAACGGTCCACAGGCGGATGGCGCATGCCTTTACGTTTTCCGACGCTATGCTAACAGCGTACTTAGGCAACTCGTCGCGCTTGTCCGACAGCGGCTTCCAATCTTTAAAAGCCCGCTTATAGTCCTCCAGTAGCTGAAGGCCCTCATCGGTAAGGCTGGCTTTTTTTATAAAGTCGTAGTGCTGCATTTGGTTGCGTTAAAAATAGTAAAAATGTCTGAACCGCAGATTCCGGAGATTTAGTTGATTACACGAAAAAACTCTCCCTTATAAAGGGAGTACCCTCGCGTAGCGAGGGGGAGGGATTTAAGCTCTCCCCCTGCAAAGGGGGAGTACCAAGCGCATTTGCGCTTGGGGAGGGGGTGGCCTCATGTTCCGGTTGTACTAACCCGAAGCCACCTCCCCTTTCTTGAGCAACTTCATAGTTGCTCAATTCATTCCCCTCCTTGGCAGGAGGGGAGCCAATGGCATTTTTTTCTTGTTCCCTCCGCTCCGAAGCACTTGGCGGTAACACTGCCTTCTCTGCCTGCCGGCCCCATGGGTGAATCTGATAAAACCCTTCGTATTCTTCCAGTTCTACAATGTCTACTTCTTCTATGTTTTCGGCGGTGGGGCGATTGCGGTTCTTCAGTACCTTGAAGTACCTTTCGCAGGTGCGGCGCTGGTTCTGGCACATCATAACTACGCTGTCGGCTACGGGAATAAGCAGGTTGCCTTTGGGTATGTTGTTTAGTCCGCAGGGCCTGCCCGTGTGGCGACTTTTATTGCTCACCACCAGCATCACGCTCAAATTAAACTGACGCATCATAGCCTTGAGCTGCGTTAAAAACTCGTTCCATTTTTGGGGTGTTAAATGCAGCCTGTCGGGTTGATCTATTATTACTATGTTGGCTTCTGTTTCCTTTACTGTTGTAGTAAAATTTTGCAATAACCAGGTTATTCTATCGGGGATGTGTTGCGGCATTTCGCTGTCGGCATTAAAGCCCGCCCAAAAGAAATTCTCCGGCACATCGGTACTACCCCACCGCTGCACAAAATCTTCTTCGGTTAGTTCCCAGTCGATGTAGAGTACACGATTCAACTGGCTCTCCCCCTGCCAAGGGGGAGTACCCTGACCGTTAGTGTCAGGGGGAGGGGGTGAATTAAATACACCTCCCCTTTCTTGCGTAATATTTGCTTGATTTAAGCTCTCCACCTGCAAAGGGGGAGTACCAAGCGCGTTTGCGCTTGGGGAGGGGGTTAATGAACCTCCCCTTTCTTGAGCAACTTCACAGTTGCCCAATTCATTCCCCTCCTTCGCAGGAGGGGAGCCAATGGTTAGTTCCCGCGCCACATTCAACGCCATAAGGCTCTTCCCTACCCCATTATCTCCGGCAAGGATGCAGAGCTCTCGCTCCGCCCAATAAACCCTTCCTCTTGTGGTGAGGTCACACTGAGCG